CACTGTAGTATAGATTATATTAGAGGTCAGCATTTTCTTAAACTTTGTTTTGGGGAAGATAATAACATGAAGTAGTTCAGTCTTGTGAGACTGTCTGGGGTGGCATGGAACAGTCACATAGTTGTGTAGAAAATTTGAAGCTTTAGAAGAAAATGCTTGGACATTTATTTTGAAGAATGTAAATTTTTAAACCCTAAAAATCAAGTCACTTTTTAGACATGAAAAACTTGTGGATACCTTCAAAACATGTTGTATTTGAAACGTATCTGTTAAACTTTACAAATTTAAATGTGATTTTTGTGTTAAAATTACTGAAGTTTAAGCAGTCCCTTAATCAGTGGACAACCTTTATTTATTACCTAGAGTAACTGTATAATTTTCTGTTACTGGTATTGGCACATTCGTTAAGGAGACTATTATATAGTATTAAGAGTCCTTAGATGATATATGGGGGGGGGAATAGTTTCTTTTCAAATAAAAGTTAATTTCTTTGGAAAAAAAATTAGCCATGAATATAAAAACATACTATATATTCATAAAAGCTATACATATGTTTACAAAATTTAAGTTTTACTTAATATGAGAAATAGAAACTCTCTTAGGCTTTTAATGAAGGCTTTTAATAAACTATGTTCTTAAATCATATTATATCTTTGAATTAAACAATAAGTTAGAAGAGTCAGTTTTAAAAAAACAACTGAAAAAACAAGTACCACTGTAAAAGAATAAAATGTTACTCTTGGGAATGAAAACATGTATTTACTAAAGAACTGATTCAGTTTCAAAAAACACAGCAGTTGAGGTGAACTGACAACTGGTGGCCAACTCATAACATCCAGCTGAACTAAATCAGTGTGGTACTGGGTATGGAAGGCCCACCTAGTTGTCAAACATAAAAAGGAGAACTGGAGAGGAAGAAGTGGAGCTGTTGGTTGTCCTGGAGAAGCTTGTCATGCTGAGTTTCCTGATATGAACTCAGCTGTTCTCACTGTGGGAGGAGCTTGGGACCCTGCTGTCGCTGAGAATGGCTGCAGTTTACTTTCGGGGAGCTCTGGTCCTTACTCTGGGCATTGCTTCCCAGCTCCGGAGGGGAAGATGGTGCACTGTTCAGTCTTCCGGAGAAGTCTGTCATGCTGGCTTTCCTGATATGAACTCAGCTGTTCTCACTGTCAGAGGGATTCAGGACCTCGTTGTCAGTGAGGATGGTTATGGTACTTTTCAGGGAGCTCTGGTCTTTACTTTGAGCGTCACTTCCTGGCTCCAGTGCAGATTCCTTAGCCTGCTGGCACAGATCCTTCATTCCACTGGCAGAGCCTTTCTAGCTTCCATCACTGACCTTCACACCTTCCCAGTACAGATCCATTAAACAAGCCTGAATGAGACATTGTCATGGGCTCTAGGCCTCCGGTTGGACTCATAGGGAGCATTGTTACGGGCTCTAGGGATTCAGCTGGACTCATGCAGGACAATGCTGTGGGATCCAAGTTCTCAGGTGGATTCTTCAGGTCTTTAGTGTGTGGACAGATTTCCTGTACCCTTTTGTACTTGACTCTTTGGGTGACTACTATAAAATAACCCTATAAATTCTGTGTCCTGTATTAAATTATTTCCCTTGTAAACCCTGACCACAATAGCAATCTTAATTGTTAATAGTGAAGATATTTATCAAAGACCGGAAACTTCAAATTTACAGAAATCTAAAACCTAAGGACATAGATTACTGATATAAGAAACTTCTTTCTGGCGTCATCTCTCTGGAGCAACCTTATGTAGATGCACTGGGGGTTAACTAAGACACGACAACTCCTGCTAGAAAAGGTCACTGTGAAAAATTCTAGGGAATTAAGACACAAAATGAACTACTATCATTAATAAAAATATCATCTTTATGATCCATTAGCCCACAGAATGAAAGATATATGCTATTCTAAACTCTCCATGGCTTTATGAATTTTTAATAAAAGGATATATTCTTGTCTAGAGCCCCTTCCTTCTTTCTTTGCTTCCTGGCTGCCACGGGTTGGAGGAGCTTTCCTCAGCCATCCCCTTTACCATGCCATTTCTGCCTTGGAGCCTACTAAACATGGACTGAACTTCCTGAAGCCATGAGCCAAATAAATCTCTTTTCCTTTAGGTCAATACTCAGATACTCAGTATTTTGTCCCAACAATGGGAAATAACTTATATAGTTATCAAGCATAATGATAAAACACATAAAATATACTCGTTGAATACATAAAATTCTAAAACAACACTGTAAGTTTAAGGTATTAAATTTAGGCAACAGATAAGGAAATTGTTTTTAAAAAGTGAAGGAATTTTCTTAAAGCCAAAACAACCAACAGTTGGGTTAGAACTCAAGCAAGCTTTCTGTTCTTTTCACAACAGCTAGCTTGATAATCTAGGTCTAGGTTTTTATTGTGGTATTTCTATTTATTCTACAGCAGACTGTATTCACTCTAAAAAAAAAGAACTAGGTTAAAATATGATCATAAATTATATCAATATTAAAGCATAAGCTTAGGAGAGATAACACATTAATTTTTGGTAACTAGTAGAAAGGAGGACTTTAATAAATATAAACAAATCATACCATTAATAGGTAAAATTCATATGCTCTTTGAAAGCCTTGATAACTTGGGGCATGATTTCATAATGTACAACAGACAGTATTAAGCATATTTGTAAGGAATAATGAGTTCCACAAATTCTTTCTTACATATCTGCTACATGCATGGACTATGTTAGGAATCTGAAATGCAAAAATGAAAAATACATAGTCTCTATCATCAAAGATAGTGTGACAGTAATATAAACCTTCCTGTTCATGTATTATAATGATCACTACAAGCTCAAATCAGAAAGTCAGTCACTGAGCAGAATTTAATTTTTTATTATTAACATTTATCATAAGCATAATTATAAACTCTTGAGGTATACCACATTTATTTGATATTAAATTAAAAGTCTTCAGCCAGATGTGGTGGCGCATGCCTGTAATCCCAGCAGCACTTGGGAGGCTGAGGCAGGAGGACTCTCCTGAGTTTAAGGCCAGCCTGGGCTCCACAGTGAGTTAAGGCAAGCCTACACTACATAAAGAGACCCTGTCTCAAACAAAGAAACAAACAAACAAAACAAACAAAAAACCAAAAAAAGTCTTCAACTGTAGGAACCTGAGATTTTGTGTCTGCTTTTTGTTTTTTTACTGTTTGTGTGCTTTCTGTATATAATTTAATTTCATCTTTCTCCTGCTCTGCCATTCAAATTTCCCCAATAGTTTTTGTACTACTGTATGCCATGCAGTGTTCTAATGCTTGAACAACGTTGTTGAATAGGAAAGACAAAAGCCCAGCCATCAAGGGATTTCCACTTCAGTGGGAAAATAGACATAAATGCATAATATAAAGTCATGTAATTTTAAGCACTCAGAAGGAAACTAATACAAGCTAAATGGACAGAAAGATACAGAATAGAATATTTTAAGGTAGGGTGATCAGAGGCGGCCTTACTACAGGTAGCATTTTAAGAGACCTACATATAGATACCTTTGGAAAGAACAGCCTTTTAGGGCAATAGCAAAGGTTCCTAGATCAGAATGAATTTGATGTGTTCAAAAAATAATAGTAACACAAATTTGGTTGAAAACAGTGAAACTCAGTGAGTATTTGGGGAGGTCAACAGATACAGAGTCAGAAAGGTTCAAGGAGGCAAGATCCTGTAGGGCTTTGTAGGCTATAGTGAAGTGTCTGAATTTTATTGTAAGAGAAGCCATGAGTGGATTTTAAATAAAAACGTGACATGGTGTAACTGATGTAACATTCCGTTTTTTTTTTTTTTGGAGACAGGGTCACACTATGCAGTTCAGGCTGGCCTTCAACAGCCTTTGTAGCCCAGGTTGGCCTCAAACTCGTGGTGATCCTCCTGCCTCAGCCTCCCGACTGCTGGGATTACAGGTATGCGCCACAATGCCTGGATAATTTATGTTTTTTAAAGAACACATATTGCTGGTTATAAGGAAACAACAGTGCATGCAGGGAAACATGTTCAGAAAGTTGTTGTGGTATATTAGACAAGCATGTTACTGGATATGGTAAGAATATGTCAGATTTAGAAAATATTTTGAAGACAGAGCAACGGATTTTCTGATGGATTACTATGGTATTATGAAGGAAAACAAGCTAAAAGTGTTTAGCGTGAGAAAACAGGTAACAGGTAATGTCAAACGCATATTTGGGGTGAAGAAATCAGAGAGGCAGAGCATTTACCTAGTGTAAACAAAGGCCTAGGATTGGCACTATCCAAAACCAAACCAAACTAAAATGAAATAAAACCACTGCAAAACAACCAAAACCAAAATAAAACAAAACAAATCAAGGGTTCTTCTATGTAAATGTAACATGTCTATCAGAAATCCAAGTAGCCAATCAGATTATCATTCAGAGGAGAAAGTATATATATTTGAGAATCGTAAGCATAAATATGAACTTTATAGCCATAAGCTGGAATAAAACTGCCTAAGTAGGAAATAAATGTAGACAATGGAGATAGCCTCTTGCTATCACACCATTTCTTGACATTGGGAATGCAGTTGCTACCATCAATCCTCTCTCGAATTTTTAACGTCTACAGATACTATTTTAGTGAATGATCTTTGTAACATAAAAATTTATCTTCATCTATGTTCAAAGGAACTGAAGTTTGGCCAGATGAACTCTTTATGTTCAAAGGAACTGAAGTTTGGCCAGATGAACTCTATAATAAGTTGTACTAAAAACTAGAAAATTATGAAGAGTAAGAGGTCAGTATTTTAAAGAATACAATATGCAAGGGAAAAATAGACAAAACAAATGATGAAAAAAACCCCACTATATTTGTAAGAACAAAACACAGTCCTGATATTTTAGCAGTTCTGACAGACATGCTTGATTCTTTATAGAGGGGCAAAATATGATTTATGCATATTAGTAAGGATAAATTAATTCAAAATTTAAACTACTTACCTGCAAGCACAAGGGTAATATTTAGTACAATGAATATTCCGCAAAATAGACCAACTCTAAAAGTAGTCCATGCTGGTGCAGGCTGTGGACAGAATAGTAGCATTTTGAGTATGGGACAAAATATCACATGTATTTAGAAGTATGAGCCTCAAAGTTCTCCAATAAAAATAGTATTTTATGATCTGAACTTTTATAAATCTGGACCAGAGAATCATGCATTCTGCATCATCCTGTAATAACTAAAATAGAAATGGCAGTTTAATTCTTTTACAGAAATGTGAGTAATGAAATAAATAAGATTATAATATTAGGCAACAAATTATTTTATATACATAATGAGTTTTTATTATAGGAGAGCTAAAGATAAAATTTCACTTTTACAGTGTATAAATCTCTAAAAGTTTTGTATTACCCAATTAGAGTTACATATTTGGTACTATGAATAATTAGAGATAATGGCAAAAATAAGACCATTTATTCTCCAAAAGTACTTATCCTATTATCCTGGGAAATTTAAAGTGAATTTTTCAAGGTACACTAGCCTCGAAAAATATTTTTCTTTATTATTAATTTTACATTTATAAAATGATCTTAAACATTACTATTTTCTAAGATAAATAATAGGAAATATCTTAGATTTTACATAGAAAGAGAGGGAAATATAGAAAGAGATAGTCTTATGAGCTTTTTAGTGTTGTTACAGGTAGTATTTTATGAAAAACTTAAAGATGCCTCCTAAAAAAGGCACTGAAGCTAACTTATTATTTATCAGTAAAAGATACTTGTATTGTTAACAAATGAAAGCATCCAGAAGGAAGATGGTCTTTTGTCTTTTCAAAAAAGGATTATCTTTACTTTCAAAAATTGTGCAAAAGAACGTGTATGATGTATTTAGTTTGTTAGAAATAACCAGTGAAGTGAACTTAGCATCCATCACACCTACCTTGAGAAGCACTAACTCTAAAATCTCTACCCCTACATGATGGTGCATTCAGTAAAACATAGTACAAAATAAAAATAAATTTCAATTATTTTAGCACATGGAATCCAAATGTTCCATCACTATTTGTTGAACACACTATTCTTTTCCACTGACTTGCCTGGTATCTATATTGAAAATTCGTTTCCATATACAAGATAATTTACTTTTAGATTCTTTATTTGTTCCACTAAAGCATCTTATTGTGATACTGATATCATACTGTCATGATTATTGTAGCTTTAATAGTAAGTTCTGATATTGGATAATGTCAATTTTTAAATTTAGTTGTCTTGGCTATTCTAGGTTCCTTGCATTCCATATAAATTTTAAAGTTAGCTTACAGTTTTCAATGTAAAGGGCTTTCACATCTTTTGTCAGAATTATTCCTAAACATTTAATAATTTGAAAGTATTACAAACAATACTATTTGAAAATTTTTTGATTTCTAATTTTTTTGCTGATACACAGATGTACAATTAACTTTTGTACATAGATTCTGTATCCTGCAACTCTGCCAAACTCCCTTATTGGTTCTAATAGCTATTCTATAGATTCACTGTATTTTCTACATGGATCATCAAGTTAATGACAAAAAAATAAATAAAAACAGCCCATTAAACCTCATCAGTTTTACTTTTCCTTTCTAATCTGAATGCTTTTTACTTCCTTTTCTTACCTTATCATCTGGCTATTATCACCTTGTCCAATGTTAAATAAAAGTAGAGTGAATATGCTCTTACATTCCTAGTCTTAGAGAGAAAGCACTCAGGCTTTACCATTAACTATGATATTAATTGCAGGTATTTTCATAGATACCATTTATTAGAATGTGAAAGTTCTTTCTTGTACTAATTTCAATTCCAGTGACATCACAGAAAATATTTCATATGACTTAAAATCTTTTTAAATTTATTAAGACTTGTTTTCTGACACAAATATACACTTAAATGATTTTTTGGAGGTGTAACTACTATGTAGATATAATTTAATACATACATTTTTGGTATAACAGCAGTATTCTATATGAAGCTATGTAGTACACCAACACTTTATAATCCATTATAAGCTTTGGCTGAAATTTTTTTAAGGTACCACAGCCAACAATCAACCAGACTGCTCTGATTAAATAAGTAAACAAATCAGTGGAAACAAATACTAACCTGAGCAGCTCCCAAAGGGGGGACACGTAAACGCTTCATAGCCTTTTGTCTGTCACCATCTTCAAGTTCATTGGTTACTACGGCCTAGAAAGACAAGTTATCAAATTTTGATATGTTATTCTAAACTTAATGATATGTAAATAATTCTGTATCATTTTATATATGTCTATTATATATAATATATATTATGTTTTATATCCTGATTTCCTCTTGGTGAATGTATACCAATACAGCAAAAGAAAAAAATCATGAAAAAGAATAGATGTATTCAAAGCTAGCAACTATTTACAAAACAAGAATGGAAATGTAGAATTATTTCTGTAAAATAAGACATGTTATTAAAAATATTATAAATGAGTAGGGGTGCTTTACCTCAGTTTCAGAGATGAGCTGGTTGATTTTCTTGCATATATAAAATGGGGCCACTTCTACATGAGCAACTCGCCAATCTGCTCCACGAGACGTTTCCAGGATCTTGTCATGCTTTTTAAGGATTTTTCGAAACCCTGTAAAATTCAGATTCTATGGAAAGAAATGTGAAATTCAACTATAATTTTTACCATCCTCAAAGAAAATGAAAAATAATGACTACTAAATACTGACAGAGCTGAGTGGACAAAAACTGGTACCTAGGGAAATGGCAATGCTTTCATAAAAGCATTTACTATTAAGAGGACAAGACTTTTCTATCTTATTTCACTTAATCTTTTCAAGGTAGTATGGTACTGATAATACAAAGAGACCCTGAACTACAAATTCTATTATTTCTCTCCCCCAAAATGTAAAGTCCTAAGGTAAAACATTTTTATTTTCATTTTTCTATGTATAACTGTCTTCAAAATAGCTTTTGTATTATCTTGTTCCTTTGGCCAAAATCAGAAAACATTTTGATTTCCCTTCCACTAGGAAAACTTGCAATGAAAATCACCTAGTTCTCTTAACTTTCATTTTTCTTGCATCTCAGTCTGGGGCAGGAGTGTGAGGAAGTCAGTACAAAGAAGTAACCATGCATACAGGATTTAATTAATAATGGATAGGAGCTCCCTCTTTTCCTCAATTTCTTCAATATTAAAATACTGTATTTTCTACATTCTCAAAGTCTGTTGCTACTTGCCTATCACTTGAAAAGGCAGAAAATTGTTGCTTTGTAAGGCTAGATCTGTAAGTCAGAGGTCTCCCAAATTTGCTCATCATACAGCTCCATTAATAAAACATTGAACATTCACTGAAATAAGCTTTGCTTATTTGTTTACAAATTTTTCCTCATACTTTAATATACAATCTTAAGTGAATAGAGCAGAACTTTTTGTTCAGTAAGAGCAGAACTTTTATAATTAACAATTCTGTTTCCCAAGGAGCTTTTTTAGTGGTTTTTATAATGACCCAAAACAAGTTGCTCAAAGTTAACAGAATGTAACAAGGGTGTTGTCCTGTAACATAAAAGCATATTAGTAAATTATAAAATATAAATATTTTATAGTATTACAGAAATGCACAATTCTTTTTCAAAATTGTCACAAAATTTAAAAATAAAAATTAAATTACAAATTTATGGATAACCCTGGCACAACAGTGCACACCTATAATCTCAGCACTGTAGGAGGCACTCAGGCAGGAGGATTACAAATTTGAGCCAGTCTGGGAAACTTAGCAAGACCCTGTCTCAAAATAAAAAAATAAATGTAGCTCAGTACAAAGGCCCTGGGTTCAATCCTCAGCACCAAAGGGGGAAAAAAAGCTATGAATAAAATTTCAAAGAAAAAGAATTTACCATTACATATACCTTATATCATTACTTTTCTACTAAATTGTTTTCCACCTGGGTTCTTTGATGAAATATTAAATTACTAAAGAAAATAGAATTATGAAAGGGAAATAAGTACATGCATTAACAATTTAGACTGATACACATATGGGACTTTAATTACTTTTGATTTTAAAATTCTCACAGACCTCAGTAATACTTTTTGTTGCATGACTTTTGTTGTATCATCTCATGGTGTCCTAACCACACAGAAGTAAAAATCGCAAGGATAAAATAGAAGGCAAACAGTAACCAGATCTCTCTAAAGAGCAGAACTCCCCATTTTAATATTCATTATTGAACAAATTATCAGTTTGTCCTTCCTCTTTCCTGTCCTTCCCTCCCTTCTCCTCCCCCTGCCTCCTTCTTTCCTTCCTTTTTATTACTGGGGATAGAATCCAGGACTACAACCCCCAGAACTTTTTATTTTTAGACTGGGTCTTGCTTTGTTGCCCCTGCTGGGATCAAACTTGTGATCCTCCTGCCTCAACTTCACAGAGTGCTGAGATTACAGCCATGCATTAATGTACCTGGCTAAATTTATTTAATTAAATTCTTTATAGAAAATTCTTTATAGAATTTAATTATGTAACAGACTTATAAAGAATTACAAATGAATGAATGCTCCATATTTCCATAATTCAGTGTACATGGTAGTTCACTACTTTCACATCGGGTTTTTAAAATATTGAGTGATATAACAGCCTAGATTTTTAGTTTCAACACACACCTGGTACAACCTAATTTCTTCAGAATTTTTTTTTTAATATGGCTACATTGCAGTCTAGGGACAATTAAAATGAAAGGATTATTTTAGTTGCAAGCTGAAAAGTCAAGATCTTTTATTTTACCGGTATTAGCTGCAGAAATGTTAATTGTCCAACTGCTGTTCTTTTATTTTATTAATGTCTATAGCAGGAACATTAACTGTTCAATTGCTTTTGTAGAAATTTTGCTAGTGGTTAAGTGGAATATAAAAGCTCTTATATCCAATAATATAAAAGCTCTTATATCCAACAATAGGGTAGCATATATTATTTTTTTTACTTACCACTCCCAGAGCTGCCTTTAAAAACAGGAAGCAAATTGTGAGTCAGAGTCAAATATTATACAATTGTTTTAATCTTCAAAATTAAAATTTGTTAACTGTTTTACTACTTCTAATACATAGATTTTAGTCAACAAGGACATCAAAAACCTCAAGAATAAAGATAATTAATGACTTTCCTTTTTGGATTGAATAGTATAGTATATACCTTAGTATAGCTCTAGGTAATTCTATTTATTAGAATTTCTCATTTACTTAAAAGTGCCATTTTCCAGGGTAAGAATCTAAGTACCTGATAGTTCTGCAGCAGGATAAGACTGAGGTAGAACTCACTGAAGGCCAGTTTAAGGTCTTTAATATTTCTGTGTTGGACACGTTCCTCATGGGACAGGTGGAAGACGGGCTTTCTGCGTTGTCGCAGCGTAGTAACACCAGTGCTTTCTTTCTGTGCATCCAGTGATGACTGAAGCTCATTCTGAAGTGTAGCAAACCTGCGCTGAGCCTCTGCGAGCTTCTCTGTAAGAAATAAAACACAACTGTTGAATCAGTAAGATCAAAGCTGAAAAAACTCTCACTGACTTTTTGAGTTTTTACTAATTAACCTAATTTGCTTCTCCAGATTTTCTAGGAACAAAATGTTACATGTAGTGTTTAGAATTAGATAGGAAAAATATTCTGGTTAACATCTCCTTTTCCTTCTATCTTTCACTTGCTTCCCTGCAAAATTGTTATTGTACCTTTTTTTAATAGATCAAGAAAAAAAATATAAAGAGCTACTAAGAGTGGAAATATGAAATGGTACAGTCACTCTGAAATTTGAAAAAGTTTGGCAGTTCTCAAAAGGTTAAACAGTGTTACCATGATTCAGCAAATCCACATCTAGATATATATCTAGGAGATATATATTCAAAAGGTGGAAATAACCAAAATGTCCACCAACTGATGAATAAACAAAATGTAATATGCTCACATACACATGGGAGCCTTGCAAAAGAAGACATACTAATTAATGCTACATCATGAATGGACCTTAACAATATGTAAAGGAAAATAAGTCAGACATAATATACCCCCCTATTGTATGTTTCCATTTATATGAAATATCCATAATAGGGAAATCCATAGATAGAAAGTAAATTAGAGCTTTCCAGTGGCTATGAGAAATGGAATGAGGAGTGTCTGCTAATGAGTATGGGCTATTTGGGGGAAATGATGAAAATATTTTGGAATTATAAAGTGGGGATGGTTGTAAAAACTTATAAATATATTTTAAACCACTAAACTGCATACTTTAAAAAAGTGAATTTTATGCTATGTAAAAAGTCTTATTTTTAAAAAGCTACTGTTATGGTTTGTGTCTGGGTGTCCCCCCAAAGCCTCATGCGGTCATGGGGCAGGCTTTTACTTTGATTGATTATGGGTGTGAGAGCTACACCTGCCCTGGGGTGGATAGTTTGCATATATAAGGGAGAGGAAGAGGCTGCTTGCAGCCATTCCTCCCTTTTGTGTTTGTTACTTTTGCTGTGTTCTGGCTCAATGAGCTGCAGCCCCCTGCCATGTGCCACTCTGCCTTGTAACCTGCCAAGGCATGGACTGAAACCTCCACAAACTGTAAGCGAAATAAACCTTTCCTTCCTTAATTTTGGGCATCAGGTATTTTGTCCCAGCAACGAGAGAAAAATAACCGAGACAGCTACCAAGAAATGTTTATATTTCTGGTTAAGGTTTAGTGCAGAAATAGGATTAGAATTTGGCCTTTAGGTTTTTAATCTGTTGTATTTCCCACTAAACCTCACCATTCTTTCAAGAGAAGTGTTTTAGGAGATTGAAACTTGCAAATTAAGTGTTCAAAAATTAGGTATTATCTGGAGATTATACGTTCTGTGTGTGTGTTTGACAGAGAGAGAGAGAGAGAGAGACAGAGAGAGAGAGAGAGAGAGATACATACTGGTATATAGCTGTCCCTCAGTACTCAAAAGGGAGTGGCCCCAGGACCCAAAACCTGCAGGTGTTCAAGACCCCTTACATCTTCATATAACCTATACACATCCTTCCATATACTTTAACTCACGTCTAGATTACATATAGTATCTAATACAACGTAAATAGTTGTTATATTGTATTGTGTAAGAAATGTCAACAAGAGAAGTCTGCACTTGTTCAGTATAGATGCATTTGTGTGTGTGTGTGTGTGTGTGTGTGTGTGTGTGTATGGTGCTGGAGATTGAATACAGAGCCTCACACATGCTAGGGTAGTGCCCTATCACTGAGCTACACTCTTAGTTTTCTCAAATACTTTTGATCTGCAACTGATTAAATTCACAGATGGAAGAATCATTAGGATAGAAGGTAAACTACATTTAAAAATAGTAACTTTTGAGTCTACAACAGTACATTTGAATGAAGCAAATCTGGATTCATAGTCTTGCCTCATTTACTAGTATGACTTAGTTTTTGTTTTTTTGTACTGGGAATTGGGAATCGAACTCAGGACCTTGTGCGTGCCAGGCAGGAGCTTGTGTTGCTGAGCTATATCCCCGGCCCTGATTTAGTTATTTTTTTCTTATTCTTCATAGCTAGTTAAGTATTTTTCTTTATTTTTCATGGCTGAAATGGAGGTAATATCAACTCTCTTATCATATGGTTGAAAAGATGAAATGAATACAAAATAATGTTAAGATGGGCAATAAAAGACCGATCATGGGGCTCACTATGTGGATGCTGGTCCCAGACTGCTGGAGAAGGTGTTTTTATGTAATACACTGGGCTGGAACCCCAGTAGAGAAATGTAAAGACCAAGATGAAGTTTAATCTAATGTGAAATCTTGGTTTCTTAAAATGCCAAGGGACATAGCCCTTAGTAAATAAAGAAAATAAATATAATAAAGCATTATTTATGACTCATTTTTCTCAAAGTTCTCCCTTTCCTTGCTCTGTATACTTTTATACTATCTTCTTCCCTTAATCTTAAATATTTTTGTCTCTTCTGACACTGCTTCATGATTTACTGCTTTCATTAGTCATTCCTATAGGATGCTTCTGAGATTCATCTCTATCCTTAATCATTTACAGATTTTTGTTTTCTTATTTTTGATTATTTATTTTTTCCTTGTATCATGTGATTTCAAATCAGGTTTCCATTCCTCTTTCTAAATTAATTTCATCAACAGGCCTCTCTCCATCTGGGATTTGCTTAGCTTCTAGAGACCAATTTTACATCCTCTCCACCACCAACAACCACCCCTCTAGGAGGCCCAGAAAATTCCTTCACTAAGATATACAGAAAATGCATTAATGAGGAGAGACCCTGCATCCTTGAAAAGCTCTACATTTGTTCTCCATTGCAAGCCAGGAATGGTCCTGAGAGATGTCTCCATTGAGATGGGCTCCCTGATTTCAGTGCAGATAAAAAAGATCCTGGATTGGAAAGGCCAGATGATAGATTGCATCAAAATAAGATGGGTCTTTCATCATAAAGGCAACAATGTTGGCCCCTCAAAATTTTTGGCTATGGTAAACTGATCATGGTTACTCTTAGGAATGAAATAAATGGGTACAAAATTAAATACCGTTTGATTGCTGTAACTGAAAAAAAAAAAAAACAAAACACAAAACTCCTGGTCTAGGGGTCAAACCCTTGACGTTAGTCACCACAATGGAGAGTTACAACTTTCCACTGTTTCCAGATCTAAGCTCATACACACACCCAGAAACCAATGATTGGAGGGGATACCAGGATCCCTTTTGAATGGGAGCCTGGTTTGCAGCACTTCCACAAAACTTTATCCAATCCTTTCTCTAAGAACCTAGAGGCCATTTACTATGGTAACTGTGCATTTGGGGAAACTTCCAGGCTTACTAGGTAGTGGCTTTTGTATCAGTTTTATATTGCTGTGTAACAAATTATCACAAACAGCTTAAAACTTCATTATTACCTCATAGTTTATAGACAAGAAGTTCAAGTATGACAGCTGGATTCTCTAGCAGGCTCTCACAAAGCTAACATCAAAATGTCAACAGGGGTTCTTTCTCATCTGGAGCTTGGGTTCCTCTTTCAAGCTCATGTAACTGTGGCAGAATTCAGTTCTTTGTAGCTATGAGACCAAGGGCCCCTTTTCCTTACTGTACATCATTTGGGATCTGACTTCAGCTCCTATAGATCACTCTTACCCTCTCCATCATCACAGTCAGCAATGGAGAAATTCCTAAGTGCCAAGTTCCTCTCTGTTTGAACTGCTTTTCCTAGGAATAGCTCAGCCCCTTTAAAAGAGCTCACTCGATTAGAGAGGGTTCACATGTTTGAACTTCCTTTCTTAAAGATAACTAATTGGGGACTATAATTACATCTGCCAAATTCCTCACAGCAGGACTTAGGTTAGCTTTTGAATAAATAACTATAAGAAAATACATTGCCTTAAGTGGAAGGGATTTTGGAGGCCACATTACAATTATTCTCTGAGCTGAAACAAATTTCTGGAGACTCCAAACAACACTGTGGTCCTGTAGTCAAACTGCAGATTATGATGTTCAGGTGATAGCTACAATATTAATCCAGGTTTGACTCAGAGTGGACCCAGTGGTCCATGGATTCATTCTCTGAAAACATTCTCACCTCCAGAATATAAAATTAGAATAGATATACTAGATCACAAGTAAAGTATCTATACTGATCCTGACTCAGAGGTAAGAAATACTGCAGTAGGAAATGTTCAGTGGAAGTTCTTTTAACTTTCCATTATTAAAATAAAATTGCAATGGTTAGTGCCACCATCAGAGACTTGACAGATAGACAGTAACACCTAACATCACATCACCATTTAATGTAGCCATATGTGCAAAAGTTGGATGAACCCTGGAAAATAACTGTGGGTTATTGTACTTAACCAGGTGTTCTCTGCTGGTAGCTGCTATTCTGGATATGATACCTTCATAGGAGCTAATCAATACAGCCTATAATGCCTGGTATGCAACCATACATCTGATAATGCTGGTACTGAACTACACACCCAATATTGCAGCTATTCATCAGGCAGACCCAGCACTGACCTGTCCTGATGTATTACCCACTGGGACTGGCCAGACACCTACGAGCAGGTTGAGTGCACTGGATACCTTCTATCATGCAGAGGACAGAGACTGCTCTTTGGAGTGAATCCATTTTTTATATGGATGTGCTTTCCCTGTCCATAATACTTCTGCTAGCACTACCATGTCCTGAAATGTTTTATTCATTATCATGGTATTCCACACAGCCTTGTTTCTCATTAAGGAACTTGTTACATAGCAAAGGCAAAAAAATCAACGGGCTCATTCTCATGAAATAAAAGAACCTTATCACCTACTCAGAAATAGATGGCCTAATAGAAAGGTTTAGTACAGATGAGCTAGGAGACAAAAGTCTAAAAAAGACAGATTCTATCTTACAGCATATAATAATGAAACCATTATATAGTATTGTCTCTATGATAACAAAAATATAAAGCCTAAGAATCAAGAGTAGAAGTGGTTCTTCTTTG